ATGGGGGAACTAGCACTCGCCATCAAATCCATGAAACCGGGTAGGAGTCCAGGCCCCGATGGCCTGCCTCTCAAATATTATAAAAGCTATGCCGAGACCCTGTATCCCCCACTACTGGCCATGTTCAACGCCATCAGGGAGGGACATGAATTACCCACACAGGCACTCATGACCCATATCACCATAATTCCGAAAGAGGGCAAGGACAGGGAGCACTGCGGGAGCTTCCGGCCCATATCCCTCATAAACAATGACATTAAACTACTGGCCAAGGTCTTGGCGACCCGGCTTCAGGAGCACAAGCCCTCTCTGGTCCATGTGGACCAGGTGGGGTTTGTGATGGGCCGGGAAGCCAGAGACGACACCATCAGGGCCCTCACGATTATGCACAGAAAATAAGGGGACGACACAGGCCTTCTCCTGCTATCCACGGACGCGGAGAAGGCCTTTGACAGGGTCTGTTGGGAGTATATGTTCCAGGCATTGTCACACATGGGAATGGGACCATACCTGCGGGGATGGGTTAGGGCCCTATACACTCACCCGACGGCGCATGTGCTGGTCAACGGGGCACCCACAGAGGCGTTCCCGATATACAACGGCACGCGACAGGGGTGTCCATTGTCCCCACTACTGTTCGTTCTGGCTTTAGAACCCCTACTAACCGCAATCCATCACCACCCAGACATCAAGGGGGTACACATAGGAGACACACACCATAAGCTAGCCGCCTATGCGGATGACCTACTATTCTTCATAACCCACCCGGAAGTCTCCCTTCCCAACTTAGTGCAGGAGTTTCAGGCCTTTGGAGGGCTTTCGGGGTACAAGATTAACTTCTCAAAGTCCTATATCTTAAATTTAAGCATCCCCGCACAGCTCCAACGGAGCTTTGCGTTCCAATGGGCCACAGACAAAATCCGATACCTTGGGACTTGGCTGACCGTTAAGGAATCGGAGTTATTCACAGCGAACTTCGCTCCGATACTAGCTTAGTTCCGTACAGACATGAGGGACTGGGCCCTCCCGCACATCTCCTGGCTGGGTAGAATCCAAGTAATAAAAATGAACTTTCTACCGAGACTGCTCTACCTCTTCCAGGCCCTGCCCATCACGATCCCATCCTCTTTTTTCGCCACGCTCCGGCAGGCTCTAGGGGCTTTTGTTTGGGACGGGAGGAGACCCAGACTGAAATACACACTGCTAACTCAACCCAAACACAAAGGGGGTCTGGCTCTACCGGACTTCCGACTATACTACAAGGCATGCCACCTGCAACGTGTTGCGGAGTGGTCCAAGACTGGGGTCAACAAACTATGGAAACAGGCAGAGGAGGGGATAGCTAAGCTCCCAGCCGCCCTTATCCCGTGGCTCCCCGCGGGGACGGACGGAAGGGAAGCGCATTACTCCCCGTATACGAAAGTAACTCTGAGGATATGGCGAGGCAATGCCGGTAGACACGCGCTTTCCGCACACCCGTCCCCATTGCTTCCCCTCACACATAACCCTGACTTCCCGCCGGGCACGGACCCTAGGGCACTGCGGGCCCTGGTGCAGGACCCAATGCCAAGGCTGCACCATGTGTGCTCCAGTCAGGGGCTGAGGACCTTGGCTGACTTATGCGGGGGTCACACAGACCCTGCCCCGCGCAGGAGCCATTACTAGGGAACTCACCGCCTACGAACAGATATGCGCAGACCCTGACCCACTGCCACATGGCATCTCGCACCTCTACGCCCTCCTACAAACACTCACACCCATGACCGCGCCACGCTTCATGGGGAAATGGGAAGAGGCCCTCAATCACACACTTAGTGGGGCTGACTGGGAAAAGATCTGTGAGGTCACCCACCATTGCTCCATTTTTAGCAAGAGTCAGGAGACAGCATATAAAATACTCACGCACTGGTACTGTACCACGGACACGACTCAATACACGCACGCTCACGGGTCAAGCCTATGTTGGCGGTGCGCAAAGACAACAGGTACACCCCTACACACTTGGTGGGCATGCGAACTCGTACAACCATTTTGGAGGAAAATTCATAAAATAGCTTCCCGCTTCACTGATAACCCACCACCATTAGACCCGGCAGCAATGCTGCTCCACCACACGACTATACCAATTTCTAAATACAAAAAGTCCCTTACAATTCGAATTCTAAACATGGCCAAGCAGACTATACCACAATACTGGAAGAAAACAGAGACCCCTTCCATACTTAAATGGTTTACGCACATGGAAGAGCTACGAGCGGTAGAAGAGCTCGCCATGTCAGCTACTGAAAAACAACATCAGACATACTTAGACATCTGGACCCACTGGATACTGACCACGACGACACAAGACTTCCTGACACTGCTCCATACCTAATGACAGGGAGTTACACCGGCTGGATAGACACATGGACGACGGATAGACCCTCTTCCTCCTTCCCTACGCTTACCTTACCCCCCACTTACCCTCCCATATACTAAAATGGGGGATACCACCCAACTGTCAAAAAGTCCAACAGACAGGGGCAACATCCCCCCCAGTATGCATATCCCCCTCCGACATGGGACCCCTGCCCACTATATCACCACAGTCCGTCAATGACTAAGGTCCTCATTAGATGTGACCTCTTAAGAACAAGTCATGACTGGACCGCAATAGTCCCTCTCTCACATAAGGATAATACAACTATGTATACCTGAACACTAGAGGGGCAATAGCGGGGAGGGCAGCAGACAGCATAGAAGTAGGCAAAGTGCCCAGCCCAAGGGGCTGACAAACTGGACGAAGATGGATGATCTGCCCCAAACAACATGGGAACGCGGGATTAATGAGAATTCTCTGGGGGGGGGGTGGGGGACTCTGTCAAATTAAGCTTTACCGTTGACTTAAGGGACCTGTGAGTCCGACTTTGTTATTGGGCCTGCGTGCCCGCCTTGTTGCATGTTTTCCTTTTTGTTTTTTTTTATTTATTTTTTACTAATACGCTGAATCCAACCTACAGACCTGCGTGTCTGCACAATAATTACCTTTTATTCCCAATTACAGGAAATAAAAATTATATTTACAAAAAAAAAAAAATGAACTTCCTCCCACGCCTCCTATACCTCCTCCAAGCCATTCCCATCGAGATCCCGGGCCCCTTTTTCAGTACCCTTAGAACAGAAATGACCAGATACGTATGGAACGGACGGAAACCTAGAGTGAAATTCTCTACCCTGACACGACCTAAGGATAAAGGAGGATTAGCCCTCCCAGACTTCCACCTCTACTATGTGGCCACACACCTCCAGAGAATTGTGGAGTGGTCAAAAGACGGCATACACAAACTATGGAAGGAGGTGGAAGAGACGGAAGCAGGCAGACCACTTTCGGGACTACCCTGGGGCCGTGAAACGACAAAATGGGGCGAAATGTCCATATACACAAAACACACCATGAAAGTATGGAGGAGGATAACAAGGAAGGGGACCATGTCACCATACCCCTCCCCCCTTCTACCACTGACGCACAACGTCGATTTCCCCCCGGGACTAGACCCAAGAGCCTTTAAAGACATCCTCCCAGACCCACACCCACGCCTACACCATGTCCTGCAGGGAGAGAAATGTAAAAAACTGACAGACATGACGACAGTGACGAACCCGACCTTCATGCAGCACTTCAGATACACCCAGCTAGCCAACTTCGTCCATACCCTACCACAGGGCTCAGCGCTCACTAGACAACACACCACACTGGAAGTGGTCTGTATGCACCCAGACCCGCTCCCACATGGTGTATCTTTCCTATACACCATGCTACAAACGGGACATCCCGACCGAGACACCCCTATTTATGAGGAAATGGGAGGACGCCCTCGGGTACACGCTGACAAATAAGGAATGGGAGTCCATATGTTACCTCACACACCACTGCTCCACGCACAGCAAAACACAAGAGACAGCCTACAAACTTCTGACACATTGGTACAGGACACCTCACTTCCTACACCAGATAGACCCAGACCAACCCGGCCTATGCTGGCGATGCCAACAAGAGGAGGGTAGTATCACACACATATGGTGGGAATGCGCAAAGATCAAACCATACTGGCAAAACATCCACAAAATGCTAGAGAAATTTACGGACAAACCACCCCCCCTGGAACTGGCAGCAATGCTCCTACACCACACTTCTACCCCTCACTCCAAATACAAAAAATCTATGACTATTCGAATACTCAATGTAGCCAAACGAGTGCTCCCCCAATTCTGGAAACAGGCCATAACACCCCCACTTAAGACCTGGTTTAGCCAAATGGAGGAACTGAGGACAATAGAGGAACTGACCCTGACGACTAACACTTCCCCGACAGCCTACATGGACATATGGACACATTGGATCCTAGAGACGGCGAAGGAAGGATTCCAAAGGGAACTAGATTTTACAATTGCCACACCACAGACAGGAAGGACTTAGGGAACACACACCTGACGACAGGCGACGACTGACTACCCTCACACCCCTCCCTACCCCAACCCTAACTTTCCCTTCCCCCCTCCAGAGGAAAGCCAAGAGATAATAAACCCAATCCAAGTAGACACACAAGCCAATAAGAGGGCACACATGAGACTTGAACATCAAACTCTCAAGGAGTCGGGTCATCCCGACCAGTAAGTCGAACGAGAGGCCGACGAGCCTCTGTATAGCCCGTACACAAACTACAACTGCAGTAAATGTACTGAACTGTAATTGAGAAAGGCTCATAAAATAAGTTAAAAGGGACTTGCAAGTCCGTCAACATTGTGGGCCTGCGAGCCCGACTAAAAGTTACTGTTTTTATATATTTCAAATGCCTTCTAATCCTTTGATAACTCACCTTGGAGACCTGCGAGTCTTCGAATCTTGACTAACCAATACAAATAAAAATTATATTCACAAAAAAAAAAAGTGCAGTCTTTTTTTAACATTTTGTGCTCTAACTCTAAGCTTGCACACAATCGTTTTGTTCTGCACCATATGTCTCAATCTGTGTCTGTTTCTCTGTACACCCATAATAAACTGATTAAAGTTAAAAAATATTTCATGTATTTTAATAGAATTTGGGGAATAGAAGGTACTTATTACCCATGAAATACAGATATGGAACATATACCATGTTAATTGCCAGATGAATGTCTAAAACTTTATTTCATGAGACTGTGCCTGTGATTTATATTTCCACATATCCCTATTTAAAATTTTTTTTTTTTTTTTTTACTAGAATACAGAGTCACATCATGCAGGTCAGACTTGTACAATGAAGAACAGCAAAGAATGGGTGAAATACATGAAACTTATAACATAATCAAGAACAGCCTGGTGTCAATCTTGTAAAAATGTGAGACATCAAATCTGGCCATAGCCCATTCTCTTTAATATAGCTTGCATGAATTGAAAACAAACATACAAATGACAATAAAGATAAAAGAAAAAACATCCTAGTCGCACCCATATGCATCAAATTACTCCTGGGATAAAGTAGAGCCCACTAAGAAAAAGTACTAGTACTAAAGCTGTACTACGCATGTTTGGGGGAAAGGGTGGAAGAGGTGAGTACGGCAAAGAGAAAGAGGTTATAGACTGTATATGCCATTAATCAGGATCTTTGAAGTAGGCCATCCATGGACGCCATATTTCTTTGATTTTCTGTGGATTTGGTAGAAGAAGAGGCTACAAGCAGCTCTAGTATGCTCCAGTCTGAATATCCACTCATTATGTCATATATCTTGTCACTACCTTTAATACAAATTCTGCCTTCATCTCTTCCTTTCCCTAAGTTCAACCCAAGTGTGTTCAACATAGGAAACCATTGAATCAAAACCAAACAAAGAATTTTCTTATAATTGCACTTCTGCAATTTTCTTTCTCTCATTCTTCTACTGCCCACGCATCTGTTTCTTCTACTGCTCTTCCACCTGTACCCTTGCCATTTATGTTTGGAATCACGGCCTCAAAGTAAAATCTTTCTAGCTTTGATTCAGTCCCTTCCCAAAACTTAGAGTCAAAGCTCACTGGAACAACCGCTGTCTCTTTTTTTGTGTACACTACAAAATCTGAGTGATCCATCTTTGTGGCTGCCAGTTGGCACTGAACTTGGGTGTAGTAGGGGTGATCAGTCTTTAACGCATAGGAATCCCCATCGGGCTTCAGGCAGAAATCGCGGTCGGCACATGCTTGGCGTATGCTGTGCTCTCTATGTTTATACGGACACTTTACTTCCAAGATGCCCAACTTCTCTCCGGTAAGTGCATCTACCACAATGCCATCTGGGCTCGCAGCCATCCAGTTTTTTTTGGTGTGAACAAATAAGCCACACTCATCCACTTGTACTTTTCTCCCAGTGTTTTCTAAAGTCCATTTTTCATAGGCGCGTATTGCATTTTTCTCATTCCTAATGCCCCAATTCATAGCAGGCGTTTGCACGCTGGGTCCAGAACCCAATACAGCCTTCAAGTACGACTGTGGAATGTCTGTTGTTTTCCCATTAGCGAATCGACTGTGTGATATCTGATGCGCCATGGAAGCTGTAATGCGTTGTTTACGCCAGTTAAACCATTCTGGATTATCTCTCTGCCCACGGGTGTCCTTTTCTATTTTTTCTACATCTTTTATAGAAAACTGTCTTGCACTAGAAGGTGTGAGCATCTTCATTGCCATCTCAGAGGTGGATGGGACATCTGGGCTTTGTCTGGTTCTTGATGAGCTGCTTGGCCGCTGACTGGAGACTGATTTTCTTGCATCACCACTATCGCGGGGTGTTGAAGGGTTTTCTCTGCGCTTTGTTGTAGCATTTTGAGCCTTTGTTAATTTTGAGTTATCACCAGCACTCACTGATTGTGCTACATTTGGAGATGCAGTAGTATCCCTTACTGCTTTACCATGAGATGGTGTTACCGATTTCTGGCTGGTTTTCCTAGGCACTGAAGGCACGGGCATTCTAGGTGATGCAGATTTTGGAGAGGGCACATCTTTTGCTGGCAGTCCCATCTTCAGTAATTAGGTATTAGTAAGACACCTGATGGGACAGTGAATGGTATATGAACAAAACTAAATTTAACAGAGAGAATGATTAACACAATAGTTCTAAAAGGCTTTGACACTGTATTTCTTGTGATAACAATATATTCCATCAGCAGCAGTTGGCAAACCCTAATGCAGAAGTAAATGCATTGTCCTCCTGCTTAGGTCACTACTGGCAGTTCTGAATGAGTTTGGTTAGTTGTTTTGTTAAAAATATAAATTAATCATGACCATCTATGTATACACATGGCAATCACTAAGGCAAAGTTGTGTATTTTTAAGTTAAATGGACACTATAGTCACCAAAACAACTACAGCTTATTGCATGTGTTCTAGTGAGTAGAATCATTCCCTTCAGGCTTTTTGCAGTGAACACTGTCTTTTCAGAGAAAATGTAGTGTTTACATTACAGCCTAGGTCACTCCTGGCACAATATACACTATAGCGTGCTTAGTGGTTATGGTGCTTGGGGCTTTCCTTTAGATAAATGTGCATTTTAGGACATAAGAAAATCTAGATACCATGGTTACAAAACTTATTAGAAACAAACATTTCTTGTTTACTGGGAGAAATGTACAGCTAGTACCAAACCCTTGTGATATGTGCATTTTGGTATTTGTCTTGTCTGGTTACAACTACATGTCTGTTCGTCCACCCATTGTAAAGCGCTGCAGAATTTGATGGTGCTATATAAATAATAATAATAATAATAATTTGTAACGTGTTCTTCTATAACCTAGTGGCTGCCTTAGCATTATAGAAAATACAGCATACAGGCATCTGTGTTACCATAGTTACTATTATTATTACTGGTATTTATATAGCGCCAGCATATTATGTAGCTCTTTACAATATTATCAGAAGGGGAGATTTAACAATAAATGGCAAAATTACAAAAACTTACAGTGACGATAGGTTGAAGAGAGCGCTGGTTCTCTATAGTAACACGGCAAATAAAAGATACACACAGTGCTAAATTGTCATCTGATTTGGTAGTCAGCCTCTCTAAATGAGGAAATGCTCAGATATTTAAGGGTGAGTCAGTATATAAATAGCAGTACACTTCTACTCACAGAGTTCTGCCAGGGCATGTCAGAATAAGTGCAAACTGGGGAAACCTCCCATCAAATTCTCAAAATTTAGCAAACTGTAAAATCTCTTCTGATACAGAAATTGTTCAAATGTTACATAACTTTTACACACGATGCCACTTCCTTCCTATTCACAGTACAAAGTAACGTACATCCGATATACACCTGTCTGATAAATTCACATTGCAGAGTAATGCATGTGACATGAGATTACCTACTCTAATTTAGATCAATACATTAAACTAAAGTAATAAATAACCCATTGTTTAAAGGACACGGCTGCATTTAAAAATATCTCAATTACTGCTTTCATAATGTTTTTTGCAATATCTGCCTGTCCCAACAACAGTATATTTTCTCTTATTAGTCTCACGGTCACCATAAGCATTCTGACGTTCTACAAGAAGCTCAATGGTTCGACATGCAGTATGATGAACCCCCATATATCGTATCGTTGTCACTCAGACACATTACCTGGGATTAGCGTGCTTTCTGTCTGTCTGTCTTTCCAGAAGCTCTATAGCTGTCTCTTTCTCTCCCGCAGTGATGTTTAGAAGTGACTCCTGATCTACCCTCGGTTGCTTTTTGTTCGTACTACAGTTTCACTTTCCTTTACATCACCGTGTCCCTCCCTCTTCACGAATTTACACTCCCTGCCCCCAGGATAAACCAGGATGATTACTGCAGTGTTAGGACATGATACATCACACTGTGTATAAAACACTTCCGTTTTACAGGAGAATACATTGTCACTCATCTCCCATTTTATAAACTGCAGCTTTGATCTCATGTGTACTATTATGTGGAGTTTAAAAAAAAAAAAAAAAAAAGGTTGTCATAACTATATTAGAAATTGGTTAAATGCATGTTAAATACAACTTTCAGGTCAAATTAGCTGAACTGGAGAATCCTCCAAGCACCTATGCTTCCAGATTAAAGAATTTCAGCAATTTGAAATTAATTTCAAATTTAAAGAGTTACTCCAACAACAACAAAAAATAGTGAATTCACTAGAGAAATGCAAATTGTGGGTCAAAAACCTGAAATGGAAATATTCTTCAAACCAGCTCACCCATTTTAGCTGACAAATCGAAATTACCTGGTGAATGCATAACCATTGAGTTTAGAGAATAACTGAGAGGACTGCACTATTGTTTTTAATAACAAAGCACTTAGCCAGGCTGAGGCTCTCATCCTACTGACACACACACTGATCAGAAACAAAACAATATTTTAGCTCTTGTAACTCATTGGTGTTTTATTCAAAATTACTAAAACACAAGAGAAGTCACAAGCGGTACCATTTTTTTCCAGATTAAAAACAAGTGGATTGTATGTTTAGGCTCTTACTCTGTTTATATGCTCACATAAATCAATGGCTCAGTGGGTTCTATCCACCGAGATAGCAAAGTTGGCAGTAGTTCCCCTAAAAAACCTTTGTCTCCGCTAGAAATATTTCTATGTTGTGGCTCCCAGCAGTCCTGATTTTGACGGGACAGTCCCAATTTCAGTGTCCTGTCCTGACTTTGTTCACTGGTGCCCCACTTTTGGCAACACCAGGGAATTGTCTCCAAAATCCAAGGCATGCGGACCCATTGGGAGAAGCGTAGGGGGTTAAGATCAGAGTCAGGGCAGCACATGCTGTTGGCTTGGCAGGTAGTTGCACTGAGGGCTGATGTCCTGATTGGCGGTATTATGCTGCAACTCCCACCAACCCTCCCCTTTTATGAAAGTTATTATGTTGTGACCTTGTTATGGGATATAAATCACCCGCCTGGACATTACAGGAGGGTGGGTTTGGTTTAATTGGTTAAAAATATATTCATGGCTCTTGGCTTCAGGGGCGGAGTCTTGGAAGGTTAATAGTTAATTTTTGGTTTGGTTATTATTATTATTTTATTATTTATATAGCGCCATCAGATTCCGTACTGCTGTACAATGGGTAAAAGTTATGGTTTATTATTATCTAAAGGATATTTATGTTTAAAATTGGAATTTGATGAAATATAGGTCCAGTGGCCATTCTCAAAATGTTAAAGTGTTAATCAAACATAAAGAATTGAATGAGGAGATTGTGTTGTGTTTTGATAATGTTTAATGTATAATTTAAATAATGCAACATTCAAACACCAAGCATGACATGAGCACTAGGACCTTGCAGAGAGCCCTGAAACATTTCACCCTGAATGGTATGCCTTTAGTAAGCTGGCCTGCTTGATTGGCGTGCATTCATGCCAGGCTGATCTGCCAATTCTTTGGGTGGCTTACCCCCCTTTCCACTGGTCCACACCCTTTAACCCCTGCTTCAGAGGCGCTTATGGTAGGGGATGCCACGTGGATTCTATGAAGGGGCAATTTATTTTCTATTATCTATTTATATACTCACTGAAATAAGTGTTCCCCTAGATCGTGGCACTAACAAATATCACTGGTTATTTAAAAACATAATTGTTGCCAACAAGTGTTTAAGTAAACATAACATGGATTCGTATAAAATGTAAGCATTTTAGGAAGTTAGCTAAAAAGAAACCAACTTCAGCTACCTTTCAAAAATAAAGGTTAAAATTTGAAAGGAAAAAATCGAAAAAGTTTACAGTTTAGACATATTTTCACAGCTCTGCTATTCTGGAAAACGCAGTGCAACTTGCAAACTCTCTATTCCAAATATATTTACTATCCAATCTCAGCATTCTATTTATTGTTAGTTGCTTTGTTGACCATGACCACCTGTTTCTGTATGTGTGGGCACTGTCACACCAAGAATACATGTTTTATATGTCACACAGCCTGGGATTTGTTTATCAGAATCTGCGTGTAAAACTACATCTCCCATAAGCCTATGCAGTACCCAGAGCCCAGCCCTTTCTCAATGTGCTCTCTTGCTGCTTTTCCTCTGCAGTAAGGAAGTGACAACAGCGGGCCGTTTAAAGGGAGAAACTAAGGCTGTATCACCATGGCAACCACGCGAGGCCTGGAACTGTAATACATTTGGCGAGTATGGTTGAATTCACTCTAAACATCGCTAAAGCTGCTGAGTTCACGGCAAGCTGACTTGGACAACGGTAGCCATTGCACACACACGGAATTAAGTAAGGAGAATTCATGTCTGGCTAGTAATAGTACTGATGGGGCTAGTTCCCGTACTCCTTGTTACCCTGCAAGACAAATAATGCAAAGACCTAAATCGAATCCAATTATTTTGATTGTTTTGACTAGAATATAAATGTTGGCCAGCAAATCATGTACAGCATTTATTATGATTTATTTCTTATAAATTAGGTACTTTTGTTAATTAGCTACATTTTCTTTAGTTAACATGTATGCAACAGTTGGCTTTTCAAATGCCTTAGAATTGATGATAATATTAGTGTACAGTTTATTGCAGGTGACATATTTAGTCAATCCTGAAACAAATTCTACCAAAACGTAAATAGGGTCAATCACTAAACCAGGATTTATGGATTTATATTAAAATGTTTCAGTTCTGATATTTTGTCCTAATATATGTAATCCATGCTCACTCCTCCGTAGTTCTAGGTTTATTGAATAGCACAGTGGTAAATAATATCTGCAAAGGTAAATTGACTTTTTATAGGGTTAAAATGGAACTATATTTTCCCTGTCCCACTTAGTCCTGCAATGCAAAACATTGCAGTTTTTGAGAAACTGCAATAATTACCTTGTAGGACTAAGACTGCCTAAAGTGGCTGTCAGTCAGATAGCCACTAAAGGCATTTACTGGGTGCTAGCGACTTGCTGGACGTCCTCACACTTCCAGCATCCCTAAAGGAAAACATTAAGTGAATGCTTTGCTTTTGGGAGGGCCTAATGACATCAGAGAAGGCGCAGCCCTGACCCTTTACCAGGGGAAATCGCGCTGGAATTGGGTAAGTGAATAAAACGTTTTGTTTTTTTAAATACAGATTTGTATTTCTAACACTATAGTATCCCTTTAATATTATGTTTCCTACCCCCTGTATTAAATAAATTGGTATTTGTTTGGTTTGAATAATAAAATTACATTTACTCCTCTTTATCATGCAGCTAGAGTTTCCATCTTCCACATAGAGAAAACATGTAGAGAAGAGGGGTTATGTGTGAAGAACAATTCTAATGCAAAGTTCTAAAGTGGTATAAACAGGGACATTCCATTGGTTTCATGGGTGACTATAGCACTTATAGAACTTAACCCCTTAAGGACCAAACTTCGGGAATAAAAGGGAATCATACAAGGACCACTATAGTGCCAGGAAAACATACTCGTTTTCCGGGCACTATAGTGCCCTGAGGGTGCCCCCACCCTCAGGGTCCCCCTCCCGCTGGGCTCTGGGGAGAGGAAGGGGTTAAAATCTTACCTTTCACCAGCTCCGGGCTGGGAGCTTTCCTCCTCCTCTCCTTCTTCCTAGCGACGTCATAAGCTGAATGCGCATGCGCGGCAGGAGCCGCGCACGCATTCAGCCAGTCTCATAGGAAAGCATTCATAATTGTGTAGCTTTTTGCTGCACAATGGTCTCCCCATGCTTTCCTATGGAAAAGAATTGGTTTCGCTCAGCCATGGAGGCGGAGCCAGTCATGGCCTGCCCCAGCATTGGTGAAAAAGTAAATGTATCTTTTTACTTTGATCGGAGGGGGTGTGGTCAGATAAGCATCATAGAAACTTTAGCTTATTGAAGCAGTTTAGATCATGCCCCTGCAGTATCACTGGTCAATTATGTGACATTTAGGAGGTAAATCACTTTGTTTATGCAGCCCTAGTCCCTGCATATGACTTGCACAACCTTCCGAAACACTTCCTGTAAAGCGACATATAATGTTCAAACTTCCTTTGTTGCACAGTCTGTTTAGTTTAGCATTTCTTATCTCCTGCACTGATAATAGCCTTCTAGACCTTGCAGGAGCCAACTGTGTGTGATTAAAATTCAATTTACAGAGAAAGAGATACACATTTCTAAAGTGCGTTAGCATCTAATTGAAAATTAAATCTTTTTTTTTCATGCAGGCTGTGTGAGTCACAGTCATTGGAGATGTGGTTAGGGCTGCATAAACAGAAACAAAGGTGTTTTAAAGGGACACTATAGTCACCAGAACAACTACAGCTTATTGAATTTGTTCTGGTGAGTAGAATCATTACCTTCAGGCTTTTTGTTGTAAACACTGTCTTTTCAGAGAAAATGCAGTGTTTACATTACAGCCTAGTGATAACTTCACTCCCCACTCCTCAGATAGCTGTTAGAGATCCTTCTTGGGTCATGGCTGCCTAAAATGCATCCAAACATTCAGTGTCTCCTCCCTCTGCATGCAGACACTGAACTTTCCTCATAGAGATACATTGATTCAATTCATCTCTATGAGGAGATGCTGATTAGCCAGGGCTGTGTTTGAATCATGCTGGCTCTGCCCCTGATCTGCCTATTTGTCAGTCTCAGCCAATCCTATGGGGGAGCACTGTGATTGGATCAGGCTACCACTACTGATGATGTCAGCAGACTGCTTGTTTTTCTGAGGCAAACAGCATGCAGATCTACAGCTTCAGGCTTGAATACAGTAAGATTTTGCTATATTTATGGAGGCATGAGGGGCCCAGGGGGGCTAGATGGTGGTTTTAACACTATAGTGATCCTTGAACTCCTAAATGGTGGAGATTTGAGCTGAGAGC